TCGGTTCTAACCCTTTTCCCTCCGTATACTGAAATATCAAGTTTCTTACCTTTTTTTTTAGTAAGTTCTCCATTTTGTTGTCCTTAATGAATGTTGCAGGAATTACATTTACAGTTGCTCCGGAATCTATCATGAATTTAATTTTCCCGTTTAATTTTAAATTCACATGAACCTTATAAATTGTCTCCCATTCAACGTGAAAACATTCATTAACTCTTTGCTCACTGTAGTTACCCTTGCAAATTCTTGATGTGGCAAAATGTTTTTTTTTTTTTGTTTTGCATCTAAAACATTCCTGACCATAAGCTGGACAGTTTCTTATTCCTTTTATATGTCTTCTCTGACAATAAATGCAATCATATTGTTTTTTTTTTCTTCCAGTCGCATTGATATCTTTCTCGTATGTGTCGTCCTCAACATTTAATTTGTCGTATTTTTCAGTCTTCAGAACTCGATTTCAAATTTAACAAATAGTCCTCAAAGCTTTCATTTTCACTCTGTCTATAGTCAATGTTTTCATGGTTTGCAGTAGTCCTTAAATGCTTAGATAACCATTTTGAGTTCTTTTTCGTCATCATTTTCAATCGTTTCTCCTTTCGCATTCTTAATTGTTAGGGTTTTGTATATTTGTCGGCCTTTTTTTCCTAAAAGGTAAATAAACAAACTCCTTTTCTTCTTTTCAACATTTGCAGCTTTAGTGGTACTATCTCTACCCTCCCCTTCAAATTTCTGAAATTCAAAAAAATGGTTCACTTCTTCAAGCCACTCATTAAAGGCTTTGGGCAAATTTCTTACTGTCCAGTCAAAACTTTGGGGTGGGTTGAATGACATCATTTTTTGTTGTTTTAAACAAAGTAGTACTCACTCAGTTTATCGTCCAGTTCGTCCCTCTGACTCCATGTTAAGCAGAAATAACTCCAAGACTTGTGTGTATTAATATACGTGTTTTATTGCTGCCATATTATCAGTAACTGCCCCGCAGTTAAAAGCCCCTTAAGGCATTACAGGTATTGGGCCGCTTATGTATATAAGTCAACCAACACTTAGTCCAGCACAAGATCATCAAATTTAAATCGTCAAATGAATATCGAATTTACCTCATTATGAATAAACAGAATATCGCTTGTCAACCATGGCTCCATGGCGTCCCAATCCCACCCACTTGATATACCAATCCATATGTATAGCAGTCTACATGTGGCTATTCTTGTCTATAATTCTGAGTATTCTATATTTGCATATGTAAATACCTTCATACAATTCTGTGTCACGAAATCACTATTTTACGAATTACATTTTCGAACGCTAACGTGGAACGATTTTTAAAATATATGATAGATAGCCTGTGGAGCAAATCCGTTCGATTTGAAGAGGTATTACCTTACGACATTTACTTTTCAAAAAAATCATCGATTTTGCAACCTTTCATGAAAAATTCAAATTGCCTTTAGAAAACTGATAATGTCTATTTGATCCGATAAAGAATTTTCCAGAAAATGTGATCCTTTCAAACCGAGCTGTGTTGTGGATATAAAAACAAATTAAAATACATCTTTTAATTTAGTGAAATTTATATGATGCTAATTTGTTACATGAAGCTGCTTGATACTTAAACAAGCCTCCCCAACTAATGACACATTGACTCATATGGCGTCCTCTCTTCCCACAATTCCCTATTTTTAACCACTATTATAATTATGAGTAAGGCATGTAGCATCTATAACGACTCAATACATTACAAATGGTATTAGGCAAATATAAGAGCGTTACTTGTTAGAAGCTAATTTACTTCATGAAGGGATAATCTACCAGATTAACTAGATATCATTGTACATCAGGCGACACAGTATTACTATTTGTCAATATATGATTTTGATGTATTATTATTTCCAGTAAAGGTTCGCTGAAATCAAAGTTTGTTTGGCAGCTGTCACCTTCAAATTATATCCATTATGAAGCTATTTTGTGCGAGACAATGTTGCCTTTGTTGGAAACATTCTTGGGACTCGTTTTCCGGAATTATTTTAAGAAATATAATCACGTGAGGCTGGATGTCAGGGATGTTGCTGATAGTAGATAGTTTTTCATTAGTTGCATGTTAATAGCCCAAAAATAACAAACTTCTAAGATTGGTGAATAATTTGGATGGATCATTTTGCAATAGATTTCTTATCTAAGAACTCACAAATCCTTAAATTATTATTTTTACCTTTCTTAAATCCATAATTTGAAATTGCCATAATGCTTCCTTATTGATATTCAGTTCTGCTTTCAGCCACATACTTAATAATTGGTTTCCATCTCCATCTTTGGGCTTTTGACTGCCCACTTCTCGCTTCCTCGTGCACATGTAGCCCTTCCTTGAACCGTCAAAAAATATTCGATTTCTTCGCAGCATATTCACGAAAAGCAATTTTAATAGCACTAACATTAATTTCCCTCATTTTCAGCCAAAACTATAGCATGCACACGTAAAACTTCCTCGATTGGGCGGCAACGAATGACTCAACATTTCCTAGCTCATTACCTCAGTGACTTCCGTCCATGCTCCCTTAATATTGGTAACAGTTTGAGAAGTATTATGGCGAAGCTTGAACTCATGCCAAAAGAAAGTAAACTCATCTATTTTCTTTTTCATATTTAATAATAATATTTAATTTGTGCAACTATTTAAAATGCTTACATATATATATATATATATATATATATATATATATATATATATATATATATATATATATATATATATATAATAAGAAGAAAGAAATAGTAAGATATATAATCCGGTGTTCTTACTGATATTTATTTTTACAAAACAGTGCTCAATGTAAATTTACAGAGCATAAATATTATAACTTAACTGATTTAAAATGTTTTTTTTTGCTAGACAGTAATAACTATGTTTCAAAAATGGAAGCTAAAAACTTCAAATTTAATTATATAATTAAATTAAAAGCATTAGTTCCGTTTCATCTTCAAGCGAATATTGGAATATCTTATTTTTACTGAGTTTTTACTGAGTTTTTAACGCACATATAAATTCATAATTTCCTGTTTCCAAGGATACAGAAAAATCTAATCAATCAGACAGGGCAGGTAACGTGTTCATTTTTATTAACTATTGTTGTATCAATTATGAGTTACGTTCGAAAAAGATTTTAAGTTTAGGGAGTGTAGGGGTGTATTTTTCAACGAATTCTGACATCCGTTAAATTTCTCCCTCCTTAATAATAATAATTTCTTTTTCTCATATTAGTTTATACTCAGTAACAAGTTGCGTTTTAGTGGCTTTATTGCCTGGCTCGAGGTGAAATAATGAAATAGAATAATCATTCATTTCACGTTAGAGATTCACCAGTTTATTTAATACTAAATTCTCAGTTTGCCAGCCATATAAAATAGCTGTCGGTGTTTCACCGTTTCGTAATGTAAGAAAACCGACGTCGTAGAATGAAAGAAAGAAAATATATTGGAATTTCCATAACTTGACATGCTAAAATCAACAACGGCAGCTCAGATAGGCAATCTACAAATCTCTATGTCAAAGGAAAATTTCTTTTTTTTTGTAAAGATTACCTAATTCTGACAACTAATCTGATGAGAATGTCTGCATGTCAGGTTATGTCTCTTTCTAATTTTAAACAACGAACACGTTTTTTAGGACTACAAGTTTATGAAAGATTATTCCCAGAAAACACTTCTACATGTTACACTATGTCATATTGTCTTATATATGATCATATATAGTATCCAGTATCTTATATATTATCACATTATCTTATATATTCTTGGGCACATCGTCATTTTTTCAGGATATCGTGTGAGGTTAGCCGATTATTGCTACTGTGAAATGACTTCGATATTCACAGGGAGCTTCACGCCCCATGCTTGTCGCTTTTGGTCAGACTGAGTTGAATAAATATTCGATGACCTATACAAAAAAAAACATTTTCTTTAAAATGGCTCAAGAATATCTCCCAAGTTTTATATAGGAGGTTCAGATATCTGTTATGCTTCTTTTTTTTTTCTTTTTCTTTTTACAGAAAAACTTTAAGCTACCAGTAACTGTACCTCGGCTAAGAGCATGATAATCTAATCTTATATATATATATATATATATATATATATATATATATATATATACGTATAGATAGATAGATAGATAGATAGATAGATAGATAGATAGATAGATAGATATAAAGGTTTCCTCATCAATCAGTCCAAATCAACCACAGCTTGGTTCATAAAGTCATTGAGAAATACACGATCCTTTCATTAGTTCCATAATATGTGTTTCTTAAGGGCTACATACGATTTTTAAATTCAGAGATGCACTTCACCTAGACTGGTTGACAACCAAGGATGAAGAGTCTGGTTTTCTTTAATATTTAACCATAGAGTAATCGCGAAATCCACGATCCTTTAATTAACTACATAATATATGCTTCTCAATAGCTACATATGGATTTGTCCTTCATCTAGGCTGGTTACCAACCAAGTATGAAAAGCCTAGTTTTCAATACTATTTAATATATATTTATCGGGAAATACACAACCCATTTATTAGTTGCATAATAATTGCATCTCAAGAGCTATCTATCGTTTTGAATTCACAGTTGCACTCCACCTAGACTGGCTGCCAATCGAAGAGCCTATCTTTCTCTACTCTTCTCTATTGTGAACGAGACAGTCCTTTCCTTAGGCCCATAACATATGCTTCTCTATGGCTACATACGGCTTTCAGATTTGTTCTCACATACACTAGTTCTCAACCAAAGCTGAATAATCTAGTTTACTTTACTATTTCACCCTTAGTTTTGGAGAATGTTTTTCACGGGAGGAAGTTGCTTCTCCTAGAAGGTTGAAGATGCCACTATGAACTACTATTTAACCCACAGCTGGGAGGAGAATATATCTCATACCTTTCTCGATGTTATTTTCGAGTAAATGAATGCAACATTCAGAGCCACTGCCCGAAACACCACGAGCAGATGATCAAGATTACGGCAGCTGGTATTCACAAGCGGTCACCCATCTAAGAAATGACCTGGCTCGATGTTGCCTAACTTCGGTGATCAGATGTGAACCAGTGATTCAGTATTGTATAGCGTTAAGCTTAGGTCTGGTAATGTGATTTATCTGAATGGTTAAATTTTATCCAAAGGCTGTAGACCACAAGTGTTTCGGTTTTATTTGTAATATTTAATATCAATAGATTGTGTTTCGTATGGGAATTTGTGATCTGTGAGAGGTCAATATTTACCGAGACAAGATATCAGTACTTGTCTAGATCAATAATAGTGTAAATCTGTTCGAAATCTTTCTGTTATGTAAGTGTTCAAGTAATCGGTTTAATTGGAAATCTGAACTTGCTAAACGATTTTACTGAGTTGGGAGAGGGGTGCTATTCACATTCTGAAAATAGGATTTTGTCTTGAACAAAGTTGGAGATGTGGGCCGTCACTTTTTTCTTCAACCGTCGGAAATAAAACGTGAGTAGATTTGTTTTTATTTGATTCTAGGAGTTCGCAATAAACGGCATTTACCCCGACTCACCGGCTGCTCATAAAGATCTTACCGAGGTGAAACTTTGTTTAAAATATCCAACACCACTTTACAGAATGTCTATTAAACATATTTAGAACGATAGATATACTTATATATGTTTATATTTCTGAGATAAGAGGTTATAACTATTTACATTATTTATATTGTTCGAACTGTTGTCCTTATATTTATGTTCACGATGTTTTATCCATTGATATCTCCCGGAACGGGATATATTTGATCGAAGTAGTTAAGTTTGCTTAGCTACTGTAACCAAGTAGTACACGGTAGCAGTAATTGACTGGTACTCGTCGTAGTCGCAGGTAATAGGTGTAGACCAATAGGATAGACAATGGCGTAGTCCAATAGGCGTCGTCATAGACTTAAACTCTACACGTCTGTATTTATGACGGACACCAGTCAATCATATTCCAGTGAGGGGGAACTCAGGTGTATGCATATTCCATTATATCAGCCATTGTACTCCTGGCCTTCTTCAGGTAATTAGAATTTATAATTGAACCCGTTATTTCATCCACGGGAGATCACTGTCCCATGCGGGATGAGATAATAGACAGAAGAACATCATTGGAATATATGAAAGATTAAGGAATCAGCATATATTCTAGACCACAGAAATGAAAACAATATGGGAACCAGTAATACGAAGCACTAGAGAAAAGCAATAATAACAAGATTGCAATATGAGCTCTGATAAAAAAAAAAAGAAGTTTATAAGTACCAAAAATACAAGGGAGCACAGCCTAGTGGTTAAAAGAGTCGGCTGGATCCATTGACTTGATTGAAGGAGTTGTGAGTTCAGTACCTGGCTACTGCAGTAATGAACAAAACATTGGAGACCTCAGTTAAAGGGAGATAACTGATACAGCCAAAAGGCACGACACGTGGAACTAGAACAATCTGTCCCGGTTTATAAAATAAAGCGTTCGTTTCGAATTGGCAATCACCTGAAGAATGCCGGAGCTTACAACGAACGAAATGTCGTGAACATTGCAATAAAGATGAGGACAACAGTCCGAACAGCATACATAATTTAGATATACTAATATTTACATTAATTACAGTCGGACTAATAACTTAAAGATATGACAACTTGATGTGTATGTCGATCGACGTCATATTCAGAGAATTTCTGATTGAAGTTTTTCTTTCATATACGGTGTACATAACAGTGTTTCCATGCCGACAATTATGCTCATCTTTCTTGTTTTTATCACAGTCTTATAAATAAGATTAACCCTCCACTTAAAAAATTCAGAGACGTGTCAATGTTAAATATCCTGCAGTCGCCCACATTTTATAATTTATTTCATCATATTCTTCTCTTTATTATCGGTTATATAATCAAGCATATTAACTTCAGTTATTGCAACAATGCTGTTATCAGTGTTCATAGAAACGGCAACTCACGAGATTTTCATAACCTTTTAGGCTGTCATGATTCTGGCCTTTACGAAATGCTAACCCAAGAGAAGCCATTGTTAAATTGTAGTTTATATAGTAGGATTATTTTAAATCAGCCACCATTTTATTTCTATCCATCTGAAGGCCCAATTGGATAGAAAAAAAAGGCGCTTTATAATGTCAAGTTCGATCCACACTAGAAGTCCAATGCTTGTGTCCTTGTATAAAAATACTTCTTATGCGCCGTTTCCCTTCAAGATCATGGCTCCCCACTACACCCTATTATTTGAAGTTCTAAGAAATATTTTCCTTCACTATCCCACCCTTGTTCTGTTATCCGTTGACACAAGCTAGTTAGGCAAGTTACTAAATGTTTCCCTCTGTCTATCTTGACGTCAATGTATCCAGTGAGTGTCCAATTCTCCAAGCTTTCTTTCTTCATTATGTGTTCTAGCGTTTCGAACTCTCTCTTTATAATCCATCGTCATCGACTGTCCGTAGTATTCGACGAATAATCAAGGAGATTCGTGTAGGTCCGCCGGTTCGATATTTAAACCGGAGGACCTACACTTTCTCCTCGTTGTCTGCGCTGAAGTTACGAGCACTAACAAATAGGAAGCTGTGGAGAACCATAATTACCTTTTGCTGAAATAGCACGTTGCAAAAAAGAAAGTGTTTCTTAGTAACAGATTGAAAAATGCTTAAGATCATAAAGTTTGCAGTGGGATGAAATTGGTCATTTAACCCTCGCTCATCCGTGGAGCAATAAGCCGAGTCTTTGAGTAAGTCTTAGCGACCTCTTAGCTCCCCGTGCCAGGGACAGGATGAAGCTAGTGACAGCAGGCTGACACATTGCAGTTGATGATCACTGTTTGGTGAGCACTGCTCCTTTCGGCAGGCGGATAAAATCTCCAGAAGAACCAACAGTTGGCGATGCCTTGTACACTTAGGATGTTATTGCAAGGCATTTTGGCTACTGACTCTATTGTGCTGGTTGGGACCAGGTGCCTAATCCAACCAGGTAGTGCAGCGGTTAATTCGCGGCGACAGTTTAGCGCTATAATCCAGCGTAGACAACGAGGAAAAGAAGAGTCAATATCCGGTCTGATGGATCGGAGGCCGCCATGTGATTCAAACGGCCGGACAAAGATTAATGTCCTTCTCGTGTCTTCCTCAAATACCAGTCGATGCTGAAATGTAAAAACAGTTTAGTCCGCAATAAGTCAAAGATGGCTAGAAAATCTCAATGATTAGTATTTCCTGTTAACCTATTTAAATAATTCACTGACTATTGGTTGCGTCACGTGGCAATGACTTTTTTGGATTGAACAATTACGTAGCACTTATTTCAATTAACGACGTTACTTAGAACAATTATGTAGCACTTATTTCGATTAACGTCGTTACTTAGAACAATTACATAGCACTTATTTCGATTAACGACGTTACTTAGAACAATTTTGTAGCACTTATTTCAATTAACGACGTTACTTAGAACAATTACGTAGCACTTATTTCGATTAACGACGTTACTTAGAACAATGTAAATGTAAAAAAAAAAAAAAAAGGTCGCAGCTCTCCAATCAGGAAGTAAACCGACTCTTTCCCTCCGTTAGCTCAGGGTGAGTTTTTGCAGCCTCTAAGCTCCGTATGCAAGAGAAACTGTGAAAACAGTGGCAACAAGCTGATGGATTACAGTTTCTTAGCACTGTCTGCATCAGCCCGTTTGGTTAGCACATCTCTCTTTTGGAAGGCGGATCAGTTCTCCATCAGAAGAATGTCTTTTTGTCACGCTTGAACTCCTTTGACTGCCACATTCTTTCATACTGCTGCTACTGAAGCTCAAAGCTTCTATTTAATTGATGATTTGTATTTCTTCCATTTTTTTCTTTTTGTATCAGAAAAGTGACTAGAAAGAAAAGAAATCCGCCAACGTGGCTGTGAATTGCATTCCTTCCATATAGGAATTTGTCTAATTTTATTTCTTTATTTGGAAATAATAATGGTTTTAGTGATACAAGTTCTATTAATTAAACAATAGCTGGGGGAGAAAAGGCCGGTTCATATCTTTCTGAAGGCTACGTAAGCGTAAGTGAATATAATTAATTGTAACTCGTATCACTGATCAACAATATGATAATGGCCGTAAGCCAGCGTTCTGAATAATTATTGACGGAATTATCTAAATAAAACAAATCTATTTAAACAGATTTTATTACATACCTACCTTATTATTTAAGAAAGAGAAAAGAAACACCAGGTTTGCTCAATTATTTTTCTACAATAATTATGATAATAATAATAATAATAATAATAATAATAATAATAAGAAGAAGAAGAAGAAGAAGAAGAAACACTAGAAAAGTATTTAACGTGATGTCACTAAAAGGGATGATTTCCTCGAACAGGAGTGTCAAGATACTTTGATTGGACAGATTCTCCCGCGTTTTCATTGTCAGACTGAGAAAGACCGAGTAACTATAACCGGAAGCGGGTCGATATAATTACTGGCATTTGGTGGAATCTAATCTTACCCTTAATATCAACAATTCGATATATATATATATATATATATATATATATATATATATATATATATATATATATATATTACTCTGACTAAGATTGAACAGATGGATCTCTCTCATGAACTTGATTTTTGCATTTCTCCCCTTAAAATGAGCAAGGAACAGCTTTTTCTGACTTTGAAATCCTGTACTCTCAATTAAGTCAATATATTCCTTCGTCTGATGATTAAGATTTCGGAATAAAAGTTCGACTGATTGAATTGTCTAACGAATATTCTTCCCTCCCTGATGGGCAGGATTTTCTTTAATGGCAAAGTCTTCATTTTTGGACTATCAATTCTTTGAATTCTATAAATGACTTTTATATAACTAAGGCTGACAAAGGTTCTGGCGTAGTCATCTAAATCAATCAAGATTATATTGATAATATAGCTATTCTTCTGAATGATTCCTCTAAATTCAAGAGGTTTGGTCTTCATATTACATATGATTATACTAGTAATATTGAAGCGATTACTCAAAGATTGTTGCTTTCAATATACTAGAACTTATTCCCTAAAGATGTTTATAATAGGGTCAGACATGTTGGATCTCAACCGCT